AGGAAAAGCAGTACACTTTTTAAAATCCAAATATATTTTTAAAAATCAAGACAAAAATTGGTGCTTTGTTATACTTGTTCTGACCACCTCCCCTTGTTGTAGTCTTCAGTAGCAACCACGAGTATTTCTGCACAAATACCTTGAAATCCCGAGTTTGTACTTTGTTTCAATCTGAGGGGGGGGCAAGTGGGAAGAAACTGCCATATTCCAGAAAATACTCAAATCTTATGCTGAAGCATTGATGAATCTCTTTGCTTTTCAGTTCAGCAGGTAACCCAAGTCTAAGTTACCATAAGAGGTGTGAGAGGCTGCCATGAAATGGCACAAAGTTGCAATTGGAAGGGGAATGGGAAGCCCTGGGGTTTTTATTCTTGGTCGGACTATAAACCTTTTAGATGACCTTGAGCAGGTCACATTAACCCTGACTCTCCAAGGAGGCATTTGCACTCCTGAACTGGATCTATAGGTTGGTCAGTTGCTGTTTCCTGTAACATGAGAATGGTGCCTTAACAGGGTGCAGACAGTTCATTAACACAAAGTGCTGTGAAATTCTCCAATGAAAAGCATTACGGCCAGTGGAAACTATTATTAGGAATTAATAATATTATAAATTAGTAATAATAACATAGTTGGGTTTACCCTATGATGTTGTACTTCACCCTGAAGCAAGATAAATCATAAGGCACTTAGGTGTTGGTTTTTTTTTTTACAATAGAGTGCAGCAGTTAAGGGTCTTTAGAACATTTCTGCAATATTAAAATGATTTTTCAGGCAGCGTATTAGCATCTTCAGTCTAGTCTAAGGTTTTAAAAAAGTAAAACAAACAAGAGCCCAAGGTATTATTTACTTAATTAGTCCTCTCTGCAGCATGAATTTCTTTCTGAACTTCATTTCTGTTTTAATAAGTATCATATCTGTTGATGTTCCTTATGTTACTAAGCAACACCAACACTACCAAATAATAAGAAAAAAAACATGTAATAAGGCACTATAATTCTGATCATGTATCATGGGGTTAATTTCTTAGGAATACTCTGAGATTCAAAGAGTGTGCAGTGCAGCAATGTAAAATATATTGTTTTCATTATAAAAAGAAGTTCATATTTTCTAAAAATGTGCATTTAATTGCATAAAGGCAGAAAAGCAACACAAAAATTATTCAAATAACATTCCAATTATATTTGATAAATCATCTTTAAAACCTTTACATTTATGTAGCAATTATAACCTAACCACAGGATCTAACATCTTAGAGCTTCATCAAAATCAATCAAATATCTTAGGCTGCAGCTGGAATGTTGTTCTGATGGAATTGCTCCCAAAGGCAATTTTCATCTATTTAGGCACCAGTTTTACAGCACATTCTGAATTTGATTATTTCTGGTAGTATTTCCTGGGTAAGGTTTTGTTCTAGTGATGACTCTAAGAAATTTCCACTATATAAAACAACTAATTAATTGCAAACTGGTTAAAATAACATCGTTTTCAAAAATGCTACTAATACTTTGGTCCATAGAAAATGCAGAATCTCTTCTGTTACTTGCTTTCTGAGTGTGTTTTATAGAGAACTGCTGATTTCAGAAGGTAATTTAAACAGACTCTCACTTACATCACATGTGAACCTGAGAATATTTTGGAAGACCAATCTTTCCTTAGTTATAAGTATCAAGTTCTCACTCAGTTTCCAGGCTTTGTTGAATGACAGTATTTGCACCTGATTCTTAGGTGCATCAAACCAGATAACTATCTGTTAATTAGGAATAAAACAATATTAGTATTGGGGGGGGGGGGTTCAATAAAATAAAAAAGTGAATTTCAGCATTTTTTCATCTATCACCAGGACTAGGAAGAACATACCTCTGTCTATATTACTGCAGAGTCCCCAGTCTCAAATATTTCTGTATTTTTTTTACACTGGTTTTTGTTTATTTCAGAGAAATTCCTTCTTTCTTCTCTCCCCATCTATTTTTTAAGATATTAACCTAGTTAGTCTCAAGAACACTTCTCAAAATCTCTAAAACTAATTTTCTTTCTGGTTAAATAAAGTTGCCTAAAATAAGTGTTGAGAATCAGTTCATAAAACTGTTTCAAGATGGGATAATTCTGGTATTTAAATTAGATAATGAACTATATGTCTCTACCTTGGTATTTGTGAGGTATTTCTTGCTTGGCAGACATTCAGGCTGGTCTTGCCTTAGTTTCAAAGTGCTTGTAATCTAATGTATACAGGTGTATACACATTATAATGTGTAACGGTAAATTGAAAAAAATTGTAAGGTATTTATAAAAACAATTCTTCAAACTTCCTGAAAGAATTTTAATTTAAAAAAGAAGATTAACAGAAAGTAAATTAACACCGGCATTTCAGAACAGGTTAAAAGAAAGATTAACTGCTCCCTGCTCCCTTGCCGCGCCTCCCAAATCCCAGCCTACTGGCATCACAGGTCTGGAAAGCCGCTGTACTGCCATACAGTCCTACTTCAGAGAAGAGAGGAAGTGTTTTCAAAACCATCTTAGGCATAGCTCTATCCTTACTCAGAATGGACTGTTTAGGAATATTGTGAATCACCAGAAATTTGGCTTGAAATCATTAAAGCAGAGTCACTGCCTACAAACATGCTTAACACTTGAAGGCCAGTATTTCAGGAGTCATCTGGGGTGTGATGCCTCAAATTGCATGGTCAGTGTTGCACATTCTATGAGAGCTTTTCGAAACCAACATTAGCGGCCATTATAGCAGAATGCATTTTGATTTCTTAGCACTAAATAGCATGTTTACCATTTCCCAAACTTGCCATCCAAGAGCAGTCATTCTGAAAAACGTTAACTACAGATGGTTTTGGTATAAATGTATCTGTTCTTCTGTCCTGTAACTGCCACAGAAATGCTTGCATTCCCTGCTCTTGAGAACTGTAAATAGAACTTCCATGTGAAGTTCTTAGTAAAAAACTTATGACCTTTAAAATGAAACTTCCTTTCAGGTTTGTAAAGGAGAACAGTATTTTCTCCAGTCTCTGATTGCAAAGGCAATTTGTACTTGGACTGTTCCAGTATTTAATAATTGTATGCTCCCATACACTTTACCTGGTTGAAGCTGTGCTCTTCTTGAAGAAGCAGTTGCCCTTTAGGATTTGCTTGGATGTAACAGGGAATGGTCTCCATGGATTTACTCACTAAAGGTCATAGTTTATTTTTTAAATGGCAATTTTAGGGTTAATATTCGCTATCTATCTGTGTGTTTAGAGCTCATTCAGGCTAACGAGTCATTCCCTAGATATCCAAGAAGCTGGAGTAGGTTTTAATAAGACTTAGAAAATAGATTTAATGAATCTGCTACATTGCCTAGACTGTTATTATCAAAAATGTTCTTATGTTAAATGTTTAAGTCTGTACAGTAAGCCTCAAAGTAAACAATTTTTAAATAGAAATACTGAGTGCTCCTCAGAGCCATGACAAATGGGAATTGGCTGTGTTTTCTAAGGTCACTTCTAAGAGGCAAAGTACCATGACCAATGTATTTGGAAAAAGAAAAGAGACTAAGTGACAGTGGAACTGAGAAGGGCCTGAAGTAGTACTATTTCTGAGACTACTTTTTAAAATATGAGCCATAACTCAAAGAGATTCCAAAAACAGTTATTGTTTTTAAAATGACTGCTGCTTCACTGTATGAAATAGCTTGCTTCCACAGTGTATAGTGAAAGCAAAACAAGTTAAAGATATAGATCTATCCTACATATCTTAAATTGTTAAAATTGCTCAGAAGTGGGATGAAGTCCAAGAATCCTCTCAATGAGGATTTGTCCTGTAAGATTTTCAGACATACAAACAGGCAATCCAAGCATAGTGGTTCCAGTACAAGTGTTGCATTGATCTGAATTTTTTATCACTGCTATTATGATGGCAGATCTGTTAGCGATCTGTTTCAAATAACATGTACAAGAGTTACCCAAGAGATTTCAAATGTTAGCAACACAGCTACGGTGACATTTTCTTCCACTTACATGTGCATGTCCACATACATGCAAGCGTAAAGCTTTTTTCAGATTTTTAAGAGATTTAACATTCACCCCTTTCTTAAAACGATCATATGCTATGTGGATTAAGAAAAAGAAGGTATCCAGCTCCAACCAGACTTGCTTGCCTGCAAAGTTTCTAGGTGCCCAGAAGGCATCTAGGTATCTCTTATACAGAGCTTTGGAGGAACTGCAGAATATTATCTAAAGATTTGATTTTGTTAAGATTTTCCCAACACTTAAGTGACTACATGTCACAATACCTGGATAGTTGCAAAGAATCCAGCCTGTCTCTCCCCCCCCCCCCCCGCCCCCCCCCCCCCCCCCCACCCACCCGCCCCCTCCC